GTAATTTAAAATGCCATGCCAGAAAACCAATTTTAAAAATTTGCCATGGAATGTACTATAAAACTTAAGATGGCGTGGAAAAAAATTGGCCATGGCAACAAGGGAAATTTAGGAAATTTCTTGGAGGTCGTGGCGAATTTAAGAATTTTGAAAAAAGATTACAAATTTATAAATTTTGTTGTTTTAACAAAAAGAAGGAAAATTTAAGAAAATCACCTTGGGGACAAGGAAAATAGTGCTCTGAAAAAAAGTTGGCCAGTATTTGAAAAATGACAAAAAAAAGTGTGATACATCAAATAACATTATGCTATAATAACTTGCCATAGTATATGAAATATATTTTCCATAAACGCATGGAAAAATTGGAATGATGCATGAAAAATATTTTTTCCATGCTATCAACAATAAACTACCAATGGTCTAACCAATATAATTGCAATGGTCTAAATACTAAGATGGACATACTACATACAATAAAACAACCATGGTCCAAAAATAATAAACATGCAAGGGTGTAAACTGGTAAAAAAAATCCATGGTACGTACGAATAAACTAAAATGGTATAGTAAATAAAAATTGCTATGATTCTACATAATATGAAGTGTCATGATACCAACAACAAAATTTGCCATGGTAGAAACATATTTTTTTTGTTTTAAAAATATTTCTTTTGCCGTGATAAAGAAAAAAAATTGTATTGACACATAAAATAAATTTGCCATGTTTTTGTGAAATGAATTGCCACAATTCCAAAAAATATTCACCATGACCTTCCAAGTGAAAAAAGCGCTTGTACGAAAAAATGAAATTGCCATGGTCCAAATATAGAATTTGCCATGGTAATAAACATAAAATTGCCATGGTAAAACAAAGTTTGCCATGATAAAAAAAAAGAAAATTGATATGATACATAAAGTAAATTTGCCATTGTACGTACATAAAGCAAATTTGTCATGTTCCCACAAAAAGTAAATTTGCCATGGTCCTAAAAGAATAGTCTTTTCTAGCATAATATGGCAAGCTTTGGAAAACTGTAGAACGGGCACATGGGAGGTTTAGGTGATTTGTTTTGTACCAAAAAGATCACAAATTTAGAAAATTTCCATAGGCACATGGCGAGTTTAGGAGATTTGTTCTTTGCAGAGAGATAAGAAAATTAACAAATTTGCCATGGGCACATGACCATGGCAAATTTAGAAGATTTGTTCTTTGAAAAAACATGGCAAATTAGGATTTGCCATGGAGAACATGGAAAAATTAGGAGATAACTTGCAAGATTGGATCAGGAACACAAATATATTCATGAAAACACAATAGGTTCAGATCTGAAATCATCGCACTCGGACCCTAGTGACAAGCATTAAGCATAGCAATGTCATAGCAACATCAATCCTAGAACATAGTGGATACTAGGGATGAAACCCTAACAAAACTAACTCGATTACATGATAAATCTCATCCAACCCATCACCGTCCAGCAAGCCTACGATGGGATTACTCACGCACGGCGGTGAACATCATGAAATTGGTGATGGAGGATGGTTGATGATGATGACGGCGATGATTTCCCCTCTTCGGAGCCCAAAACGGACTCCAGATCTGCACTCACGAGGAAGAACATGAGGTGGCGGCGGCTTCGTATCGTGAAACGCGATGAATCCTTCTCTCTGATTTCTTTCTCCCGGAACGTGAATATATGGAGTTGGAGTTAAGGTCGGTGGAGCTTCATGAGACCCACAAGGCAGGGGGCGCGCCAAGGGGGTAGGGCGCCCCCACCCTTGTGGATATGTGGTGGGTCCCCTCTGGTTGATTCTTTTGCCAATATTTTTTATTTATTCCAAAAATATTCTTTGTGAAGTTTTAGGTCATTCCGAGAACTTTTATTTATGCACAAAAATAACGCCATGACAATTCTGCTGAAAACAACGTCAGTGGGTTAGTTCCATTCAAATCATGCAAATTAGAGTCCAAAACAAGGGCTAAAGAGTTTGGAAAAGTAGATACGATGGAGACGTATCAGTGTGCAACAACGATGTACTAATGTTGGTGGGGTCGATGAAGTGTTTAGTGGTGGCAGTGGAAGTGGATTATAGCGGCTTTCTTTGCCTTAGTCATCCTGGTGATGTTGGCCAACCTCTCTCTTGGGGCTCGTGGCAGCGGTGAGCTCTCGGGGTTTGGCTCCCTTCAACGACGCGTGAGATTTGGTTGCCTCACATAGTTTTCTGGTTCTCTCTATTTGTGATGGTGGTAGTTATTTGGTCCAAAAGAAGTGCAGGGTTGTCTTGATGGAACATTGCGCTTCGGCACAGTATGTGGCTCTCTCGCTCAGGCGTTGTGGCTAGGCAGTAGGAAGCCCTTCAACGGTGTTTGCGACTCTCCTAGATCTTCAAGGTACAGACTGGTCACAGGGTAGCAGGCATCTTCTTCTCTACGTGTTCTCGATGTCGAATCTCCTTTCGACTGATCCTATAATGCTAGTTCTCTTCTCGATCTGCCTGATGGTGATGGGTGCTAAGTTCTCCGTGTTGCCTGCATGTTGTAGCTCGCTTTTGGTTCTCCTATGTTGTTCCTTGTTCCTTCTTGTCTGTGTCGGGTGCTACTTGTTGCAGTCATTGTGTTGGATATTAGTCTTGTTTATGATATGAAAATGGTTTAGGCCGGCGTAAGCCCACCGTCAAGAAAATATATGGGACCCTTTAATTCCGAAAATAGGGGACCCTTTAATATGTGCTTGCTATTTCTTGATACTACAATCATGCACACCCAAAGGGTGTTCTTGCGTGTGTACAATACAGTTAAGATGACTCTTCCGGAATTTATTAGTGTTTTTGTCATGTATAGTATATATATGATGTATTATGTCTGCTATTCTACCTTTCTTTAGGATTCTGGTAGGGCTTCCACCACATTAGCCTTGCGAACTCTGTTGCTTCCATTCAATGAATGGATGTGGAGAGTGATACATGATTTTTGAAAAGAAAAAAGAACTTTCTTTAGGATCAATACATATAAGTCATTCATCATTTTCATCGCTACAACCATATGATTCTCCTTAAGTTGGATGCAATGACCATCAAACTGAATTGGCTTTGCAATAGCTGAGTCTCTTTTACTAGAATATACTACCTCCGTCCGGGTCTTTTGGGCCCCTCATATTTTGGGCCAGACTTCAACCATCTATACGATTAATACAATATAAATTATACGCTAGAAAAGTACACTACTGAATTTTGATTTTAAAGGGGTTTTGATGGTATAATTTTTGTGACATATAGATTTTATTAGTTCAACCTATAAGTCAAAGTCTAGTCCAAAATAAGAGAGGCCTAATAAACCCAGATGAAGGGAGTGGTATACAACAACCAACAAACTGAAGCATTTATTGAGAAACAAATTTTCAATGCACTGGAAGATATTATGGTCTTGATCTGGGCTTTGTAAGTATTTAATATGCACTCACCGCACCAACCTCCTATATCATTTCATAAATATTAGAGACACACTATCTTCAAATCTTAGCTCAATATATATCCACCTAGTTGTCGTGTCTGTCTTCTTCCCCGTTTTTGGGTTATTCCCTCGGCAAAGTGGGCTTTGCCTGAAGGGTTCGGGCCAAGTACCTTAGCTAGGAATTGCATTTGGTAAAGTCTCTGCCTAGTGGGAAACGGTTTTCACCGTGTTTTTCTGGTACTCGGAAAACTCAGAAATTCCAGTAGTGATATGAGGAGAAATATTATCTAAATGTGAAAAATATAAGGTCAAAGCACAAATACTGAATCTAGACATTACAATAGAGATAAATTAGTCAGAAAAAGGAACCATAATTTAGATATTTAAGACATATGAAATACTCGCTCCGTCCGGAAATACCTAGAGGCTGCTTGGTTCTAGGCCTAGCATTGCCGCCCATTTTTGCCAATCTTGCCTAAGGTTAGTTCATCAAAATGAAAGCCACAAGTTGGCAAGCCTAAGAGAATCTTGCCACACTTTTTGTTTGTATGCCATGTGGGACCCAAGTGTGGCCTGCCAAAAGTGTGGCTGGAACCAAACACTTGCCTAAGTTGGTCAAACTTGCCTAACCTTAGGTGTGGCAATCTTTGGCAAAGTTAGTCACAAACCAAACAGCCCTTTATCCTAAAAATGGATGTATCTAGACTTATTTTAGTTATAGATATATCCGTTTGATCCATTTCGAGGACAAGTATTTTTGGACGGAGGGAGTAAAATGTTAAAAAGTATCTAGCTGTGTTTTGGTACTATGGTGTTACAGTTGCATGGCCTGCTAATATACTTGCACAAACACAAGCAGAAAGGACCGAGCTACTATATGGTGTTATAGTTGCATGACATGGTAATATACATGCACAAACACACGCAGAGTTACTAAGTTGTTAACTGCCATAGCAAGCTGCATCAAGTCAGATACATGAGTGCACTCAAGCACCAATCAAAACTATCACGACTTCATAAAGGTCTACACAAGATCAAAAAAACAATAAACATGTTCCGTTTCGAGACAAAAAGAGATACAAAACTTGACACCACACAATTAATTGAAGAATTATATTGCCCATCTGCAAATGGCTCCAAGAGCAAGGGAACATAAGGAAGATAAGGAGTCCTGCAACCCCATTCAAGATCACATATAAACCGCAGCTCCCTGGAATCCATTTCATATGCCATTAGTTTCGTCAGTGATGGGCCAGTCAGCATGTACAACTGCTCACATACAATAAATATCACATTGTGTTCGGGGTGGATTGAGATTACTCTGTAGTTCCCCGCGAACATTGAATACTCTCTTCCAAGCAGTTGTAAGTGGCTAACACTGTGCTTCAGGGTCCAGTTTTTACTACTAAAATCCTCAAGAGCCCAGATTGAGAGTTCAGAAACACTCTCATTTGCCAGATGCAATTGTCCCCGTGATAGATAAACATTAGGAACACCACGAGTAGAATCTGGCATGGGGCCACGAATGGACCTGCGATTTCCCTCCACATCAACTGCTACAACCAAATTATTATATGAAGACAAATGCAGCATCCTGTTGAAAAATATGCTACTGGGAAAACGGGATATAGAAAGTGGATTGTCCCAAACAACTCCATGCGTCCAAACTCCAGTTCTGGAGGAGTAGACCCCCACTGTTTTCTTGCCTGTATCATGACCCTGCATGTTCACATCCACAACACCAGTAGTAGAAACAAACTCGAACACATGGAAGTGGGAGGAGACAGAGGGGTCGAACCCAAGGCGGGCAGTCCGCACCTTGCTGGACCAGGTGGTGGCAGGTAGGGTCACCCATTTCTCAGTAGCGGGATTGCACACCACGTAATCAAATCCATTGACATGAGAAGGTTGGTTCCAGAAAAGACAGAGGAGGAGGCCATTGCAGCTGTCCAGCAGGTACATGTTAACTCTCTTGCAGTTGGGCAGGAACGAGAGGGAGCAGTCCATGCTAGTGCACCAGTTCCCTGACACGCTTTGGTGACCACAAAGCATAGCTGGGAAGCGTTCCTCTCTGAAGGTTTGGTAGAATATGCCGGCGAGGGTCGACCGGGGCAGCTTCTTGCGGTGGTCGGGGTGGGAGACGAGGTCGCGCCACCGCCGGGAGACGCACTTGCAGCAGCGGGTGGACTTGTAGGGCACGCGTGAGATGATCTCGACCAGGAGGTCGTCGGACAACTTGGACACCGGGCTCCTCCCTTTGTCCCTCATCTTCTTGGAGCCCTTCCCCTGCAGTGCCCTCGCCGGCCAGTGTGCAGATCGGGCAGAAGATTAGTGCGTGGGCGGCGGCGATGCGGGAGAGGAGAGACGAGCCGGTCCAGGTATTATCAGTCAGGGACTCAGGGTATCTGGGTTGTAATTATCTTGTTTTTAGGGAAATCTGGGCTGTAATTATATGGGCCGGCCGTATGATAAAATAATAATAATTTATAATTGCACGTGATTATCTGGTCATCTGCTGTCCTGGTAACTGTTTTTATCCTACTGTGTTTAGAAGTGATTATCCAATGTTAATCTTCTCAGGAACTTTTTGCGTAGTACAACAAAACTTCCTCTAGATGTCCGGATAGGCACGTACAATGAGAAGGTTTAGGCGATACAAATATTAACATGTCTCTATATGCTGATAAATCTTCAAGTTATCATAACTCAGCGACAGCGCAGGATACATCGATAATTGTGAGCAGGAGTACACCATGAACACACCACTAGGACAGGAAACTTGTGTTACAAATTGCAGGGGGAGCATGAGGTTTTTGATTGTTGAAGCCACTGATTGTGATACATACTCGAGCTAGGACCAAAACCGAGAACTGAATTTCCATGACACCTCATCATCGAGCACCTACAAATCAAAGCCATACCGATGATGGCTAGTGCACCACAAGGTTGAACTCCAGATTCTCATCCCAAAGCCAAGCTTCAATCCACTACCTTCATCAAGGACACAACATAGATGCGCGTCTACATAGCCCGATCAGAGATCATGTGTTTTCACTGGAGTGCATAAACTTATCATTAAAGCCGTGTGTACCACCCGCTCTTATCTTTCTACGATGCCTCGATAGCCGGATACCTCTGGACAAGACAACGGATGACAAAGAACTCACATACCGCCCGCCTCCCGCTACATCGCACCATTTTTTATCCAACATCAACAGACCAAACATGACACCTCCGCCAGAGCCACCGAGCATCACCTGCCGGTAGCAGGCATAACTTCACGTCTCCGTATAAGACGTCATCTGTAGCATCCGCCAGTAACGCATCCACCGGTGTCACCTGCTGAGCCGCATCAAACCCGATCTGTTGATGGAGTGGACGTCCCATACCACCACCAACTTCAGAAAGGCCGTCGCCACCTCGAGATCCAGACTCCGAGTCGCCACACAACCCCAGATTCTGCCGCCGTCGATGAAGAGGGGCTGCCACCCCAATTCCAGGAACTACAGGGAGTACTCACCATCGCGCCAGCCGTTGTCATCGCCCATACAACGGCAAGCCGCCGCGATCCCGCATCCAGTGGTGTTGACGCCGGAGGAAGCTCCGGGCCCACACGCATCCTATAACGTCCCCAAGAGCGAGATCCCAAGATCCGCCGCCACAAGGACCCACCACCTGGTCCGTCATCCCCGCTAGAGGGGACGCCACCACCGCCATGACCGGAGCCGCGACTCCCGGGATCCATCACCGCTGATTGGACACATCCTCTCCTGATATTCCCTCCCTACGGATCCGCCGGCGCAGCACCGAACCGCCGGGAAAGAAGAACTTTGGATTGGATCTCGTTCCGCCAATCCCTCCAGATCGCGGGGCTGCAGCCCAGACCCCTATCTTCCCCATCACCGGCGACGCCCTCGCATAGTCGGCGCCCGCCTCTGGGGCGGCGAGGTGGGAAGAGAGGGGGGAGGTGGCGGC